TAGCACTGAGTTCCCTCTCCACGTCTACATTGCCAGAGTTAACACTCACAGTGATGTAATTTGGACCCATGCCACATTCTTGCTAGAGTAATTTGTTGAAGGATTTAGCCCTACTCTTTGCAAGTTTACCATTCCGTTTCATTGATGCGGTAGTTTTATGTGATAATTTCAGCTTCTAAGAAAGGCACAGAATAACCGCATAGCATTACTTCCTACTTCTACAGCAAATGAAGACAAACTAAGATTTTGAATCAAATAAAGTGCCAATTGTTGATAAGTTAACTAGGAGTTCACTTAATCTCCTTTCCACTTTGTAAAACACTCAGTGAAGATGTAAAAAATTGCAGTGACTTCATGTCTTCATAATTCATTCTTTCATGATGTCAGCAATTCAAGCAATAAAAGTCATGTTTGATGTAGTGAAAACACTTTATTAGAAAGGCAGCTAAATTGTGGCACTATGCGAACTGACCTGATTGACTGAACGAGGATACCTAAGGCGTGTGTAGCCGCTTAAAATCCTACCAGATATGCCAATAGTTGAGCCATAGAAGTTAAAGTTAATTCATCAAGGGCTATTAAAGTGTGGCCTTGACGACCGCGCTGTCATCGTCGATGTGTAAAGCTGTGGCACGAGTCGAGCCACCCCATTGGCTGTTGCAGGTGAGTGAACCAACTCACTGCACACGTCTGTGGCACCTGCTTCACCTCAAATCCAGTACAATCGGAAGGAGTACTCTGTTGTATGAATGATCGCAAAGGAGGTTGCAGAAAGCGTTCCAATCAGTAAGACTAGAGTACTTCCCTCAATTTTTATTAATTGCACATTCAGGCTCAGGGATGTCAAAAGTTGGGGAGAAAAAAGGTGAGTTGCAAGTTAATTACAATAATGCAGCAAGACTTTGGTAGTGAAAAGAATATACTTCTAGAACTGAGTTAGTTCCTCGTCGCCTAGCAAACATGATCTCATTTGTTAAAAAAATGCGAGAAGTTGTCCCGCCTTGCAGAATCGGCTCCCTCCGCCTCATGCACCGCTTTACATGCATCTACTTTCTGCCACTAATATGCGTAGTGGGGCACATAGTCTCGTCATCAGTTTAAAACGTTATTGATATTGAGGCAGCTGTATGCGTCGCTAAGTCGATTGTCACACTGTTGACACACAATGAAAACACATCTGTGGCTGGTGACCGTTCACCACGTTAACACGTGTCCTTATGTCGACAAGTGTTAAGGAACATATGGTGTCTCGCTAAACCAAGTGGGTGACAGCTGCATGTTATATACGATTAGCTGACCGACTGACTGCTTGACAGATTAATGGGTTAATTTGTTGACCGATGAAATGCCAGTTCATGTACTGGCACACATGCCTACTTACATCACCACTTTCACTCTTGCTTCGTGCATCCACTTAATGCAAGGAGACACCTTCAAATCCCTTCTCTTTCTGTTTCCCACCACGTTGCACATTTGCACTATATACTTTCCTTGCGTGGCACTGAGTGGGGATCAAAAGTAGGCACCTTTGATTTCAGGTTACTTACAGTCGTCGCTATTACGGAAATCCATTATTTCCTGACACGAGGGCACAATATGCGTGTTTGGTAATCCATGCCAACGTGGTATAAGACTGTAGTTTATGCAGCCAGGATAGATGTGGTTAATCAGACAAAAATGTATCTAACAAAGTACTACTACATTGCACAATTATTCCAGTCAGAAATCATCTCGCTACTTGCATTCTTTAATACACCGTTGGCAATCTGTAGTTCCAACAAGTTTTTTTACTTTCAAAATAGGTAGTAATGGAGGTCATGTTACCGAAAATTACTGACGCACTTTTGTATCTCATAGTTTTTGCACATTCTTTTGATGCAGGTGGCCGCCAAAGTGGAGGTTGCCGACGTGGTTTGAGTGTCGCCCTTCCTGAGCCGCCACTAAGGCTTAAAGAAAGTGAGTGTCACCGTCAGAAATCTTAAACGAATCCATGTACACTTATTGAGCAGAGTATGCAGTTACCTAAACCACTTTCCCATCCTAAATGTGATGAGAAGGAGGGAATGAAAATACACTCCTGAAAGGGGTGATCATCGTAGCATTAGATGCTAGCATCCTAAGGTATTTGCAACCTTCTGTGCACGTTACCTCTTCTTGTTTGTCGGATGGCACTTTTGAGGTTCTTTATTTTATTCTACATATAAAATAGACCCTGATGTTATTTGGACTCCTGCTTATTACGGAGACGAGGAAGACTTCAAAGAAGGTGAGAATGACGGAGAAAATTGGGTCATACTCTTTACAAAAGAGAACAGTCAACTCATATTGAAGAAAGGTGAAAAGCGCTACCCCATAAGCGGTCAATATGAGGTTAAGATTGGGGATGAAATTATCAAGGCAAATCTGCTTTATATGCTAATAAGGAGAGTGAGGAAAATAACAGTAGGAGATCCTTATTTCTGATGGTGCTCTAGGGCAGTGGCGGAGATGAGACCGCTCAGCGCAAAGGCGCTTCGCTTGTCTTCTACAAGGACTTAAAATATTTTGCGGGTAGCAGCAAACTCGAAACATTCACGAGGAAGAATAACGATGAATTAATTGCAAAGGGGGAATTTGGTGAAGTATGGCTAGCAAACCATTATAAAGAGGTGAGTTGTCATTCAGCTCTAAGTTATGACATCCTTATTAACATTTGTGGCTCTAGCACTAATCTGACTAAAAGTGTATTGATGTCAACTCATTTTATGCTGAAATGGGCTCAGAATTGTGCTTGCGACTGGTGATGCGAGTATAAGGTAGGAATGAGGTCGTTCAAAGTGATCCACCGCAATGAAATGGGAAAAGAATGCTATCGCATCAAAGAAATAATCCAAGTTGACGCTCT